ATGTCGAGAGACACGGCAAGCGATTCACCGCGTTTCTCGACAGCCTCGCTCCATAAATGTTTGACATACGCAAGAAGATCCCCAGTAGATCGACCACGGCGAAAACCATACTGCCTATCACTGAGGAGATCGTTATCTTCGAGGTATCCAAGGAGACGGCTGTTCAATACGCGCTCCATAATCTTACAGAGTATGGAGGTGATTGCGATAGGTCGATAATTAGTTGTATTATCTTCTCGGTAAAAACAGATTACTTAAAAAAGGACAAAATTCTTTTTATGAAGACAAATCTATTAAATCCAACAAAACGATCCTCTCTCCATAGACGCTAGAGAATAATTACTTGATAATAGTAAAAAAAACGTCTCAAAAGTGTATTTTAGTTATAAGACAGAAATATTTTATCAAAGAGCAAATTAATTTACTTCAAGTCACAAAGCTACTCTAGATTCAACAAAATATTTTTTAGTTATTAGAAATGTCCGATTGGGGGGGGGGGGGGGGGGGGGAAAGAATGAAAAGTTCAGAGGTACTTAATTATTTGACTGAAGATTTATGTTTTCTAATATCAAAGAGGGTAAATTTGCAGAGTCACGGACCAAACAGCATGGAAAAGCACACAGTTCAGTGCCAAACCTTAAAGTAGCAAAAAAACAGGACTGAATCTTCTCAAATAATTGAATACCATTCAGTGCTGTACAGATGCTACAGCGGCAGAAAGCACTAACAATTCAAAATATATGAGATGACTTATACTATTGAAGTTAACAAAATGATAGCGCGTTTCAGAGTACAACTAATGCCATCTAGCAGTGGCGTGATGGAACTAATTGCATGTTAAAGTTGTGCTTGTTACAAGTGTAGTTTGATTTCATGCTGAAACCAAATTCCTTACAAATATCACCCTAACAAACTAGAGATACTACGTATTGTTTCTTTGGATAAATGACTGTTTATGATTTTTATGATTACAAGCACAAGTAAAAGTAATCGTTACCGCGTGCGCCTTCGGCGACATGTCACGACAACATTGACTATGAAAACGCAACGAAATGTTGCTTTAAAAATATACTCTAGAATTTAGAATATTAATCTGAATAGCAAACTACTTCTGTTTTTGTTTGAGAATATATTTTCTTAAAATACACCCAAGAAATTTTGAATTCATTTAAAATTATTTAAATTTGATGTAAGAGGTAAAAATTTCTTGATGTAAGTAATGTCCAATTAATTGATTAGAAATGAAATAAAATCTTGAAGTGAACGTATTTGTCTAAAAGTTAGAATAAAGTTAAGAGTAAAATTGTATTAGAAAAAGATAAGCAGTATTTTTGTAATGAAAATATTTTATTACGTTTAATAAATATTTTTCAGAATTAGCAAATATTTTGAGAAATTGCTCTTTCTTATTAGTAGGATTCCTTTTTTTCTGTGTATGGAAGAATAGCTGGTAATATGTTTAAAAAATCCGTAAATGTTGTGTTGTGAAGCGATATTTATTCATAGAATATGTATCTTTTTCCTTGCAAATGTGATGAACTCAACTTAGCCCCGCACTAGGGAAACCCTAATCGCGGGTGCCATGGACACACACATAGATAAACACAAATCCCACCCAAAATCACGAGAGAAATGAATGTAGGCCATACAAATATTTCTCCCGGTCCGGGAATTGAACCCGAGACCTCTGCGTGGCAGAACGGCATGGTAACCGTTCGGTCACGGAAGACCACGGAGCCAAGTTATCTTATCTTTAATACGTTTTACCTGCACTTTGTAAATTCAACCTTATGTGCATTTGTTTTATGCTAGTGTGGGATAAATAAATAAATCAGATATTTTTGAGCATCAACTTTACTTTGTCTATTCGGGGTTCCGGTGATTATAATTATGCACAGCACACCAATCTCACAAAAATGCACAGCTATAAATGTGTTAGATATAAGATACAATAATTTAAAAAATGCCTAATACCACACCCCGGACACTCCATACAACGGTCGAAAATTATTTACCTACTACTACTATATACAGCAAGGCGCTATCTGCACACGCGCAAATGTGTGCGTGAAGTGACAGCGTCACCCATCACTTTCTCGCACTATTACGTTACGTGGTCAGAGCGGCAACATAGCGAAAATTCTGACGCAAATCTGTTATCCATGATTCTATTAATAGAATCCTAATAATTATACTTGTTTATTACATATTTATGTCGATATATTATTATATTATTCATTAATTTACTAACTAGAGTAATATTGAAGATTTATTTCAAAAATATATTAAAAGCACTTAAAATGTTATATTTCGGACATAAATAAGGTAACCAAGGTATTTGAAATTGCTTATCTAAGTTTGGTTAATTATTAGATATATTCACTACCTACGTAATATTTATCGGCAATACGAGTAGGTATTTGATGGCGTCTCATTATATTGATATAATAAATCTGTATTTTTTTATACATATGTACATATATTACTCTGCATGTAAATAAATGAAGAAAACAATAACTGAATGAGTCTCAGACAGTTTTTTTTACTTACTTCGTTTCATCTTTCGGAAAATGATGATAACTGTACACAGCACAATTCACGACCATTATAAATAGTAACGTAAAATGATGTTTTATATGAACGTACAAGTTTCGTAATGAATAAATGAACTATATTCAAATATCAAAGCCGTCTTCGCGCGAAAACGGCTAGCCGGCAGCCTTGTTGTCGTTCAATCAATGTGACCGGCAATATGCAGGACGTGGTGCGGTATCTAAAACTAGGGAGGGGCGGAGAGTGACCGTTCTCTATTCTTTATTCTCTGCTAATACATTACCTATTGACATTGAAAGTATAAATGCAAATATTACATATTTAAATTAAGCAATTTATATACTCAAATATGATTAAATATGTCAAGTTCCCGTTTTGTAATCTTTAAATTTTTAATGCAATTTGTGATTTTTAATGCTACACAACACACTTTGCAATCATATTATGTTTGCAACGTCTTTCATTTATTACAATTGTACTTACATTAGAAAGATAACATCATGTTTAGTTTAATACATATTTTTGCTGTTAGGTAAGCGTTTTAAATGTAGTGTAATTTAGAATTGGGTTTTTCTCTGAGTACACATTCTTTATTTTATAATAAGCATAAATACATTGTACTGGAAAAATCTTGCTTTTAAAAACTAAAAAAAAATTAGTAGCAGTAGAGCACCTTACCTATATCTGCCGACAAGCAGTAATGTGCATTACTGCGTTACGCTTCTAAAAGCGTAAGGGTTCTGGTGAAATTACAGACACATGGGACTTATCAACTTATGTCTCAGGGTGACGGGCGCAGTGGCAGTACCCCCACGGTCTTTGCGATTCAAAGCTTTGAGTGGCACTGCAACTGTTATAGATAGGCCTGTCGCTTACCACCAGGCGCACGACTTGTTCGTCCCGCCACTTGGTATTATACAAAACGTGTTTACATTTGAAACTGCTTTATTGTAATTTGCATAGATTTGAAGGCAAAGTTTAGTATAGAAGGTGATTTGCACCACTCTAAAGTTTCCCTTGCAAAAACAAGCCCTGCTGTGTTCTGAGTGTACCGGTAAGAGAAATCACAGCCACAGGACACATCCTTAGCTAAGGTTCTATTATACCTAAATAACTTAGGGTCGTATTCTAGAACTCTACTCAATGCTCAAGTCAGGACTTGAGTATGATTTAAAGCACTAGAAATCATATTCAAGTCCTTGCCATTAGAGTCGTTTTTCCAGTGTTTGAAATCATAATCAAGTCTGCTCAAATCCTGACTTGAGCATTGAGTACAGTTCTGGAATACGACCCTTAGTGTAGGTGATATCAAATCTAGATTTTTTTTGTAGCAGTTCTTTCTGGGAAGTACTGCCACGATCATATCTATTTCCGTGTTTCGGTGTTGATGGGATAAAAGGCTGGTAGCACTATATACTCGTACTAGCCAAAACAGTTTCCACTAATGTTTAAAATAAGTTTATGTTGGATAGACAAATTTGTACATTATAGATATGTACAGATTTGTACATTAAAGATATGTACTGGCGACAACTAACGTAATAATTACCACTAAGCAATAATTTATAAATCACTTTTAATTATAATATAAATTTATTGAATGTCGTGATGATCACCCACCATTTCAATTTCAATTGTTTATTGCATATCACATTACAAACCACTATGATATTCAACTATGTTATGCGAAACCACTGTACGTCAAACTCTGAAGAATTTAATGTAATAATAATAATATCTTTATTGCAAAACGCATAAAAATAGGCACAGAGGTGCGTTTAGCTCCCAAGCTAGGATCCCCTGCACTATGGGTATGTATTACGTCCGTCAGTGTGTTGCCTAAAAATAACAATAATAATAATAAAGCACACACTAAAGTAACTATTCTATAGTCTATCTATTACAATAACTAAGTATATTACAATAAGCTTATAAAATATTAATGTAGAACACAAAGAGAGATGGTTTACATTTAGTTTTGGTACATTGAATGTACATTCATAAATTTCTTACATAATCCAGTATACTACTAGTTTTTATAAACAACAAAAACAACCAACTTCAGTACCAACATAGAATGAAAATATTATAAGATACATTAATATTAAAAATAAAAGTAAAATCACAAAAGCAAGGAGGGTGTATAGTCACAACTGCAAAATTCCGTCGATCGATTAATAATATTTGTTAATAAAAGCTTCCTAATGGCAGATTTGAACCGGAATGGCTTATTGTTTGTGTGCTAAATATCTATTGTCCATTTCTGCAGTTAATTGAAAATTACTTCTGTTTGGCTGGCAATCGTCCATCACTAACTATCGTCTCCTATTCTTTTTTTATGACATGCCCATATAACAGACTTTGGGACATACAGAGATTGGAACTTTCGCTATGTTGCGGCATTGCAAGGAATTAATTTCTACAAAATATTTTTTTGTTTATTTTAGGTATGGAGTGGGAAGGGCCGGGCAAGCAAGGCTTGTACGACCCTCAGAACGAGCACGAGGCCTGCGGAGTTGGTTTTGTTGTTGCTATCGACGGGAAACGTACTCATAAAGTGAGTATTATAAGCATTGGAATCGAAATTCACCTTTATCCAAAAGTCTTTAAAATTTAATTCTCATAAACAAACATTAAGGACGCGACTTTTCGATTACTCATTTTACACGAAAAGAGATACCTATACCCAGTTTTTAGAGACCTGTCTAACAACGGGAATATTGTAACCTGGGTTCCCTACCTTTCCCTAATAAGGGTGAAAATAAAAGAAGGTAGGGCGGTTAACTGATTTAATTAAAAAGAGAAATGAATCCCAGGGTACATAAAAATTTATGAATACGTGGGCTCCGGCCTAAAGGTACGGATCGTTAGCACTCCCGGGGTTATGCACTCCCCTGGGTAAAGGCCGGCTGGAATGTAGATAGCCGGCGCCTTGTCGTGTCGGAGACGGAAGATGTTGAAGGAGGACTCCGACGGGAAGTGAACCCGGAACTGCGGCTGCCAGGCACGACGCGCGTCGCTTGTAGATGATGTTGGCCACGTAGTGGCCGAGGGTTTTAAACCCTAACGGAGTTCCTGTAACATGTTACAGTGCGGGTATACTGCGCTGCTGTGCACGCGCCCGTTGCGATTCCGTCCCGGCAGCTTAAGGAATGCTTTACCCAATGAGGGAACGCTTACGTATTAATCCTGCTGCCGGGAGAAAATCACAACGGAATTTAAAATGAAAAATAACAAAGGTTAAGTACTTGTGGGTAGGCAGAAGGCACCCACAAGCAAGAACAAAGCTAAATAAAACGAAATAAATACAATTGTGAAATGACACGTTGACTAAAAGGAAAGTTTAAAAGGTCAAGTCACGTAAAACCGCGTGGCATCGCATGTGCCTTCGTTAATTACGCGGATTCGACAAAATTAAATAACTGGCTGCTGGATTGTTGCTGCCAGCCGTAAGGGAACGTATTTGTTCGACCTATGGATGTACAGGAACCGCGTAGTTAACGAATGCACATTCCGCGACCGCCATTTTACAAAATTAGCGAATTACGAAAATAAGTGGTGTGGTATTGGAATACTCACCCGAATACGGGAACTTCTTATACTCACAAGTTGTTAATTTCAAAAGCAATTGTCGTAGTTGCCGAAATGCGGATTTATATTTGCAATTTAAATATTTAGGAGCGCGCGTAGGCGATGCCGGCTCGTGAGAAATGTGGCGCGGACGCCGTCGCAACTCCTTTTATATGCGAGCCGCAGAGAATCCACGCGTTCGCATTAGCGCTCGATTAACCGATTACGTAAAAAAAGAGGTATGTAACGTTTTTTCGTTACAATATATTTCCCTTATTGTTATATATTTTATTAACTTAAAACTTTCCCGCCTATTTTGAAAATGCGCGCTAAACTATTAATTTTGAAATGACCATAATAGACAATATATCATTTTATGAAACAGTACAGAGTACTGAAAAAACCAACCTCAAAAGTCATTCATCCCCTAGTTTGCCACCCTTACAGGTGGAATATTCTCTTCAAATTTAAATAGGACCACATCTGAGGTACCCTCTTTCTAACAAAAAAAGAGTCATCAAAATCGGTTCACAAATACTGGAGTTATCGCGTACATACAAAAAAACACAGCCGAGTTGAGAACTCCTTTGAGTTCGGTTAAAAAGAGTAGAGTTCTTATGTCGTTTAAAATTATAGCAAATGACAAAGCACGGAGTTTTTACCAACACTTTACCGACATATAAACATCTAAGTTTATGATTACATAACATGATTCCGACTTTAATTTTCAGTCTTCTAGGTATTCTTCACAAGCGAACCCTTCTTTTAATAATATGTATGTGTTTGAATAGAGATTATACATATAGTGCATAGGCATTATATAGGTATGCATGCTCCGTCGTCACTTTGCATCAGGTGAGATGGAGGTCAAATGCGCCCTTATTTTACCTCTAAAAAAAGAAACGTTCCACTTTGTTGTTTTTCACACTTCGATGTTGCCGGAAGGAAACATACATTTTTTGTATATGTGGGTATTCTCAGTAGGGTAAATGGCACGTCGTTAGGGAAATGCCACCCACAGAATTCAAAAATAGTAACCCAAACCAAATTAGTTCATCTTTTGTCTTCTTACACGACTTTATTCAGAATGTAGCACAATTCTATGGCAAATAAGACACACAAGCTTTCCTTTGGTAGAATAACCGTGTGATAATTGTGGGCCAGTATCAAATTGTGATTTTGCCAATTTCGAGCGCGAAATAGACCACCTACCTTTTTTCTTTTTTTATAATGTCAAGTGTGCCTGGTGGTAAGCTACACGCCTGTCCATAACAGTTGTAGTGCTACTCGGAACTTTATATCACAAAGGTCTGAGAGGCTCTGCTACTGCGCCTGTCCCTGCGCACCCTTACCCTATAAAACCGGAACACAGTAATGCTCATATTACTGCTTGGCGGTTGAAACAGGTAAGGTGGCAGTACTTCTCTGAACGACCTCTTTTACAAGGAGCTCTACTACGTCATGAACTATGATTTTCTGAGATATAAGCTGTTATTCTGCATAGCCATCGGTTTTTCATAAAGTTTGGGTAATTAACATACCGGTCCCATAATGTCTTACTGTTATGTTTTAATAAATTAACATTCTCTCTGGTGGTATCTCAGCACATTAATGAGAACGTATTTTAGTACTTTTTTTTTACAAAACAATGACAGATACTGCAATTAATAAAACTAAACTGGCTGTCACTGACTTCATAAAATCACAAATCAATTTACTTGGCAATTTATCATGAGATCCTTTTTTCATATTGAATTGTGGCATTTACGAAGTTTGCAACTACATATGTAAGTAGTGAAATTTATAACTTAAATTTTACAGACAGTAAAATCTGTTTCACTTTGTTTTTACCTATACTTTATATAATTATTGTCTA